GGCTGCTTCCTCTTCAACTGCACGGCGCGCGGCCGCAGCGTCTGCAAGTTCGCGCCGCATCGCGGTTACCGCAGCTACCGCCTCCGCCGCACGCCGGACGGCGCACAGGGCGGCCTGGGACCCGGCGCCCCGGTCCCTGCCACCGCGGGGGCCTACGCAGAGCTGGGTAAGCGCGCTCGCGCCGGCCCGCGAGGGTCCCTATCCAGCCCGCGGGCCATCCCTCTCCAGTCCGTAAGAATCTCCCTGTCCAGCCCGAGGGGGTCCCCTGTCCTTGCACCTGTCGGGTGGGGACCCGCTGGACAGGACCGCTGGGCTCCCCCGCTCGCCCCAAGTTATATGAGCTGCAGGTGACCAGGAAAGTGGCTTAAGAATGATGCCTGAAAGCCCCAGTAGTTCGGCAGGAGTGGACCGGTGGGGCTGCGGCTGGAATTTTTCTAGGGGTGGGGGAGTGACCTGAGAGATTGACAGAAAATGGATTTTATGAGGAAGAGAAAAGCTCAGCGAAAAAAAATTAGTCTCAGTTTTATAATGCATGGTTTTTGTTGGGTAATTGCAAGAGCGGAATCTAATTAGATGTGAAATTGTTCCTAACACCCACTTCTGTCTCTTGTCATGGCAAGAGACTTGACAGTTCATGATTCTGCCTCTATGATTTGGCTTCATCAGGCAGAAAGGAAAAGTACTCCTTCAATCTGGGAAAGAGTGAACAGAATGAACTTGATTTGGGGTTAAAATAAAAATGGTTTGAGGCATGTGTCTTTTTAGAAGAGATAAAAATAGTGGCAATTGTATTTTACCCTCTGCAAGTACTGTGAGTCAGGCGAGAGGAGGCACAAATAATTCTAACAGTCTCTCTAGTGTAAGAAACTGAAAGAGTAAATAAAACCCAAAAGGTACAGTAGATACTGTGAAAGGGAAAGAAGCTGCTCAACACGAAAGAACACCTGGGATGGGGGAAAGGAGAAAAGAAAGAAGGGGGGAAAAAAAAAAAAATATATATATATATACACAAGACAGCTAAGATACGGTACTATATTGAAAGGAACAGTTAATGATTAATTGTTTGATTAATCTGCATGCCTGTATCTGGTAATCTGAGCAACTACTTTGAGGATAACAATGCAATATAACAACCACTGTGAATTTCCTATCATCTTATTTTCAAATTCTATATCTTTTTATTGCTTTTTTTAAAAATTCTCTTAAAAAAAGTCCTAACAGTTAGAAATTAATGTTGCTGAGAGAATGAGACCCTTAACTGAGCCCCCGTGTGGTCAAGCTCTGTTTCTCATCATACAAGGACGCTTGATTTACAGTGACATGAATGACATCATTACAAAGATCAGGGAGCAGGACGGCTTCAGCAGCTTCTGGTATCTGGATTCTCTTTGAGGATCCACCCAGAAGGGTCAGGAAATCTGTCTGCATGCCGCCCTGCCTCCCTCTCCTACCACCACCTGAGTGGAGCTCAGACAGTAAAAGGCCACCCTGCAACAGCTTTGGACCAGACATTGGGAAAGACCCGTGGGTCATTGAAGCTGGAGCAAACAGCCTTGCACTTGTTTTTTGGGGTTTGTTTTTGGTTTTGGTTTTGGTTTTGGTTTCTGGTACCGGAAATCGAACTCAGGACCTTGCGCTTGCCAGGCAGGCACTTGTGCCACTGAGCTATATCCTGGGCTCCATCCTTGAATGTGGAGCCCCCAGCCCCACCCAGCCACCCTGAGCCCTGCACCATGATTACAGTATTATCCTTCCTCTCTGCCCAAACAGGAACCAAAGAAACCCAGGAGCAAAGAATCAAGTCTCCTTTCCCTTGTTCTCCCTACTCATGTGGAAGAAGCTAACTGCTGAAGGGAGCTTTCCTGTAAACCAAGAGGGAAATAACAACAGCCACAAGTTTAGGTTGCTGGAAGTTTTCCAGTCGCATCTTTTCCTTCCCTTCTGTAGGGACAGTTTGTCTTGGGAAGTATGCTTTATGCATGTCTTGACATAAGAGCAGGCAGCTGCTGGCGTGGTCTTCCTCTGTGGAAGAACAGCTCTGGCTTCTTAAAGCGCCCCCAGCAACATGGAAGTGCTGAAGGGGCAGCCCCTTGAAGAGGCTTCTACGACTTACTCTGCACAGAGAGTAAAGGATATTTATTCCCCACGTTCTGAGTTTCTCTTGCCCAGTTGTTTAACCTGTCAGAGTCCTCCACTCTTCTGAGACTAAGTTTTACCTTCTTGAGTTCTTTTTGTCTTGAATCTTGTGAGCAGGTGGAGTTGAAAGCTCAGTAAAAGTGAGAAAGGTTTTTTAGGTCCAGATGTTACCAGGTCCAAATAAAGGATCACAGAGAACTAGGACAAGGTTGGGCAGGGTGCACTGGCACAGAGGTAAGGCTGAACCCATCAGCCTGTTCGTTGCCCACATTTATTAAGTTGGGTGTGAGGAGCTGTTTTAAGTGCTTTCTATACGCGAACTCATCCGTGCTCACAGCAGCCCAGAGATACAGGAAGGCTCATAGAGAGAAAGCCACTTGCCTGAGGGTCACACAGCAAGTGGGTTGTGGAGCTGTCATGGAGCCGCTCTCGCGCTTTCTCCTGTCAGACTGCAGCCCCTGGGTTGGCACGGGCAGGTGGCTGGAGAGGGTGCTGGGGAGATGCTGAGTGGATGATTGAACCTGCCTGCTGCAGCATACAGGGAGCAGAGCAGGGTGCTTAGAGTCCTCAACCCTGGGTGTCAGACTTGTCTCCTCCCCTGACAGAGTCCTTGCTGATGCCCTTGTAATGAGTGCCTGTCTGCCTCCCAGCACAAGTTGTTGTGAGGATCGAGGTGGACCTGCCTTGTGAGGGCAGCAAACATGTCCACGGGGTTGTTGCAGGACCCTGCTTGGGTCAAGCAGCTGCTGGGAGATGCTAGAGGACTGGATTTGTGATGAAAGTGAGACACATTGGGAAGAAGTTGAGGTGGGGATCTAACTGCAGGGCACTTAGGATCCTGGAGCAGCTGTGAATTTAACCTCCCATGGCTCAGGGACCAGAACTTTGGTGCTATTTCCATGAATAGCGTAAAATCCAGGGTATCTGGGGAGAATTTGGGGAGTCAGTCGCCCCGCCCAGTGTTACAGAAAAATCAAAGCCTTTAGCCAGAGTTCTGTCCCCTCAGACCACCCGCTGCCACCTCCAGCCTTCTCTCATCTGCTCCAAATGTGAAGGTAGGATGCAACCTTTGAGGTCAGGTAGAGGCTAATCCCTCCCCAGCTGCCTGGCCAGTATCCTCTTTACTGTCTCACATTTTCATCTTCTCCCCATTATGTCACAAACAATTTAATAAGCAATATTAGCATTAACTGGTTAGCAGTGTTGAGGGGAGTACTTTTAGACCTACAGTTTTGACCACACACAAATTCCAGGTAGATTAAATAATTCAGTTTTTTAAAACTTAAGCCCCAGTTTATTCCAAAGATAGGAAAACTGGAAGATAAACCTACTCTTACATAGTGTAAGAGAATGTAATATATATATATGTATATATATATAAAATGAACAGCACAAGTTGTGACAAGGATCAAGGGTGGCATGCTTTATGTATATATAAACTTCCAGTCAAGAAACAAAAGAAATTGCAAAGAACACTGTGGTAAAATATGAAATAATTATGAGTCAAAACCAAAAACAAATGGCCAAGGCGCATGAGTAAATAGTTCCCAAAGTGAAAATGTGGTTGATAAACATGAAACAATGTTCAATATAGAAGTAATGAAAGAAATCTAAATAACGGGTCCTACCGGTCCCGGGCGTGGCCGGCAGGAGGTCATCTGGGTAGGCTCCTTTCAGAGGGGCTCTGCGTCTGTCAGTAGTCGCAGATGTTGGCACTTCTCGCTGGACAGCAAAGAAGTTGGTGGCCCCAGGAGTGCAGGTGAGTCTCGGCGCTGGGGTGGCCTGTGGTGGTGAGCCCTGGCTCTTCCTTCTGGGAAGGGTTCCTGTGTGTGCAGCAGCTCCCCTGCTTGACAGCTGTTCCCCCCCGCTTGGCGCCTGCTCCCCCATTTGGGCAGACGCAGGGGAAGGAGGTCAGCTCACAGGCCAATTGGCTGTGCTCAGCTGGAGAAGACATTTACCATGTTTGTAGAAACACAGGGAGAACAGAGGGTGATCTAAGTTTACAGTACACAGGATAGGATATAAAAAAGGGCTCCACTGCACCGCAGAGCTTAGGAAAGAAGGACATCATTTCCTCAAAACTAAGATTTGATTCCATTACTTTTTTTTTTTTTTTCTGCCTTTTTGAGATAGGATCTCGCTATGCAATTCAGTCTGGCCTTCAGCTTACTTTGTAGCCCAGGCTGGTTTCAAACTCACAACAGTCCTCTTGCCTCAGCTTCCTGAGTGCTGGGATTGCAGGCATGCGGCAGCATGCCTGGCTTCAAAATTAAGATTTGAAGACTGCATCAACCTGTACAGTTACCAGCAGCGTCTGTGTTCTGTGATCATCAGTGTGATTCGCAGGAACTTCTTTCTTAACAAATAAAATGAGCACAAGGCGTGGAAAATAGGACTTGTACATTGGTTTGGGATTGGCTGTGGCATCCAGCATTTTCATTGGAAGGAGTTTCATTTTGAGAAAGTCCTGCGACCAGGAAAGGCTCCGTGCCAGCAGGTCAGGGTGGCCATGCACGTCTTGAAGAGCGGTTGTGGTGGGCTTGTCTGCTGACAGTGGAGCTGGTGAGGTAGCCAACTTCACTGCCTACCTTTGCCCCAGCGATGCCGGCGACCCCACCGGGAGCTGTCAGCATCTTTGCAAGTGCCATTCTTTCTTCATACTTTCTAAATGAAAGAGTCTTCATGGGGAAAGTGAGCACTTGCTAAGGATTGTAGGATCCACCCTGATGGTCATCTATGCTCCAGAAGAGGAGGAGACAGAGACCTTGAATGAAACGTTGCACAAGTTAGGTCATCCAGGCTTTGTGGTGTTTGTGACACTTGGGGTCATCGTGACCTTGATACTAATCTGCCTGGTGGGCCTCCCCTCGGGCAGACCAACCCCCTGGTGTACATTACGATCTGCTCTGTGATTGGTGCGTTCTCCGTCTCTGCGTGGACTGGGCGTGGCCATCAAGGAGCTGTTGGCGGGCGGGCTTGTGCTGCAGTCCCTGCTGGCCTGGATCCTGCTGCTGAGCCTGGTGGCCTGCGTGAGTACTCAGATCAACTACCTGAATTGGGTGCTGGACGTATTCAACACGTCCATTGTAACCCCATCTACTGCGTGTTCTTCACACCCTCAGTTTTACCTGCTCAGCTGTTCTCTTTAAGGAGTGGCAGGATATGCCGATGGATGATGTCACTGAAACTCTGAGTGGCTTCTTCCCAGTCATTGTGGGGATATTCTTGCATGCCTTTAAAGATGTCAGCTTTCATCTAGCAAGTCTGCCCATGTATTTTCAAAAAGATGAAAAAGCAGTGAATGGCAATCTTTGTAATATGTATGAAGTTCTTAAAAACGAAGAAAGCTTACCCTGTGGAGTTGAACAACACCCTGGTGAAGATATTTCCCAAAGAAATGGAGGCCTGACAGCTTTCTAAGAAAGATGTGATTGAAAGGTTAATCCGTAGTTCTGTTATAACACTGACTTTGAATATCAGGATGTGTCTGAAAAAGCACCGTCCTCAGTGTTCTCTAAGACAGTCTTTTTTAAGGTTCTACTAATTCAGTCCAAGAAATTACTTTTCCTGTATTTAAACAATGGTAGTTTACTAAAATGACCTTAGAACGTGGCCAATTTCTATTCACATTGTATTATTGTAGAGGCATTTTATATTTTGATTCTTTCTCCAAAATCTAAATGCACTCATGACAGTTTTAAGTCTACAGAAATGCCTTATGTTTTTCATTGATGACAGAAGTCTGAAATGTACATTTGTCATCCCCCCTCCATCACTGTCTGGCCATATAAGGCTTTTTGATTGTAAAAAAGAACAAAATTATCCCAATACATTAGCTAGTGATTTACCTAAACTGTAAAAAAAAAAAAGAAGGAATGTAAATAATGTCAGCCTGTGCCTATTAGATTGGCAAAAATAAGTTCACTCAACTTGGTACACGTGGAAACTATGTACCCTTACATTGTCCCTGATAGTGTAACCTGGCACTGCCCTCTCAGAAATCAATTTGGAAATAGATAGCAGAGACCATTAAAATATTTATCCTTCTGCAGTATTTTTCAGGAAAATGATCTGTGCTAGATAAGAACTATAAGCAAAAGTATTTATTATGGCATTATTTATAATGGTGGAGAAAAAGTTGGCAACAAGATAAATGTCCGGTAGTGGGGACTAGGAAATTAAAAAGGCAATTGTGAAATTTATGTAACTATATGGGCAGTGCTAGAATGTATGAATAAATATTAACAGAATATATCATGTTAATAGGTTCAACTGTGAAGATAAAATTCTATCTGTAGCAAGTAGAATATACTTCGGGTACCTCCAAGTACTGTGGAAAGACATTTGAGTTAAAACTGTCTGGGCTGATATATCAGCCAATAAATTGATTGTGCGTGTGTGTGTGTGGGGGGGGGTCTTAGATCACTAATTTAGCCTTCTGGGCCTAGGTTCCTCATCAGTAGTATACAGACCATAATCACCTCAGAGACTTTTAGTGAAAGTTAAAGTTGTGCCTATAAAGCATTTAGCATGGTACCTGAAATGAAAGAAATTACCCAGTAAGTGGCAGCAGTTAAAATTAATATAATCACATATGGCCATTAACATTATATGGAAAAAGAGTTAAACAATATATACCAGAAATAGGATCATATTGAGGTTGTGGGTAAGTTTTTTCTAAAGTGTTGCAATTAAAACAACATGATGGTTTTTACCCCTACATCTGAGCCTTGTCCCTCAGGCTGGCCCTCACTTCTGCCCTCTCTAGTTTCAGCGTGGTTTCTATTATTTGTGCCCGCACAGCACAGATCCAGAACGTCTTCCTGCTCACGCAGGCTCTGTTCCCTGCAGGGTGTTAACAAACATGACAGCTAACAGTATCGTTCTTTGGATAAAACCCCACCTTGATGCGTTCGATCTAAACTGGTGCAAGTCTTCTTTTACCTCTGTGGGTCTTACCAATGGTGTTTAGTTTTCTAAAGAAATCAGTGTTTCCATAGTACTTAACATAGGTTTATTACATTTCACTGATGAAAATTCAGAATTACATTTATCTTGTTCTTTAACAAGTCAGCCGTTGCTAAGTGGTTGCCTCATCCTCTTCCTGCTGTCATGTGTTTATTTCAAGGATATAGAAGCTCTGGCTTATTGTAAATACATTTGACAGTGTAATTGACCTGGACTTGAACTGAAGAGGAAGCATTATCTCTGTTACTTCAAGTACCTCGGAGGTCAGTGTAGAGGATATGAGGATTTCACTAGGTTCATAAGTCGTTTCTTAAAGCTCATCTAAATAAAAATAAATGACAAGGTTTTCTTTTTTTCAGGGGCGGTAGGATTAATTAGTTTCATAATATGTGGGATATTTCAGCCCTTATCCAATCCTTTCATGTTAAATTTTTGAAGTATACTTTTTGAGGGTTTTTAAAAATTTTTAGTGTATATTGTTTTTATACTGTATTTTAGTGCGTCTACTTACAAACAGTATTGTAACTGGGCATGGTGGCACACACCTATCATCCCAGCTACTCAAGAGACTGAGGCAGGAGACTTCAAAGTTAAAGGCCAGCCTGGGCAACTTAGCAAGAGCCTGTCTCAAAATAAAAATAAATAGGACTGGGATAAGGCTCAGTGCAAAGGCCCTAGTTTCAATCCCCAATACCACAAAAAAATATATAGTATTTTAAGATAAATGTTAATGCAAAGCTGCCAACTATGAAGTATAACTGCTGAATCATAAGATATTTCTCTGAAGTATAAAGTGGCAAGCTGTGGCAACTCTCAACATTTCAGAACTAAAGGAAAGGTCAGCATTCTAGAACAGGTCTCTTGTAACACAGGTGTCATATTTCTCTTAGAGTGGGAGAAGCAGAATATACACCTCAGCTCTCAGTCTTTGCTCAGCAGTGGAAGGCAGTGAGTTTCCTGTTAGGCAAGGGGTTGTTAACTTGGCTTATTTCAGTCAGACTTACTGATTGTATTGGCCGGCTTTCCTGCTATTTCTAACAAAATACCTTACAGAGAGGAAGGTTTCTTTGGGCTCCTAATTCTGGAGGACCCAGTCCAAGGTCAGGTAGCCCCATTGCTTCGGACCATTGTCTGGGGTGGCATGCCATGGAAGAAACTTGTGGTCAAACCACTTACATCACGAGATGAGAAGGAAAAGGAAAGGAGGGCCTGCCAGGGGGTCACATTCTCGCTCGAGGGCGGGCCTCCCATGTCCTCCTAATGGCCGCACCCTGTGACAGTTCCACCACCTCCCAGGAGTGCCACCCCAAAGACCAAGCTTTTGTCACATGAACAAAAGAGGACATTAAGCATCCAAACTATGCTGTAAAAAAAGGGGGGGGTGTTATCTTCTGGAAGCAATTACGTATAATAAGCAACTGCTTATTCCCTATAGCGTTAAATTATTTAGCCTTATTCTAGATCAAAGGCAAATGTAGAGTCCCCTCCAAAAACTGTATACACGCTTCTTCAGTTCACCCTACTACTAAATGCCAGGAAGCTAACAGCCATCACTTTGAGCACCTATGGTTGTTGTACAGAGCAAAGGTAACTTTGTCTTATAATGTCTCAATAAATTTACTATTAAAATATTTATATAAAATAAATAAAATGCCAGGCATGATGGTGCACACCTTTAATCCCAGCACATGGGAGGTAAGAGGATCGTTGTGAGTTCAAGACCAGCTGGGCTACAAACTGAGCTCAAGGCCAGCCTGAACTGCATAGCAAGACCCTGTCTCAAAAAGACTAAATAAATAAATAAATAAATAAATAAATAAAGCAAGTGATGGCCAGGCATGGTGGTGTACACCTGTAATTCCAGCACTCAGGAGGCAGAAACAGGAGAATCGTGAATTCAAGGCCAGCCTGGGCTACAATGTGAGTTTAAGGCCAGGCTGAACTTCATAGTGAGACCCTGTCTCAAAAACCAAAAAAATTTTGTACAAGTGGGTATAGCTTAATGGTAGAGCATTTGCCTAGCATGCACAAGGCCCTGAGTTCAATCTGTAGTACCACCAAAAAACAAAAAAACGTGATTTAAAAAAATATATTTATACAAGCCTCTTTTCCTGATGTGTACATTTCTTTTGTTTTGGCAGATTATACATATGTGCTTTGTTCTTTTAGGGTATCTCAACAGAAACTCACTGTGCTGACTCTGTTATAAAAAGTAGTTAGTAGGTTCTCTACACCTCCTCTATTTTCCTAGGTGAAAAATTAGATTCCAGAAAATTTCTGTGTGGCTTTCTTTAGTATGGATCCAAGGTTACCCTAACTTCGCAAATGTAATGTATTTCCCCTCCATGGAGCACTCTACATCGCTCTTATTTTGAAAACTTGATAAGAAAAAATGAAATCTGTGTGAAAAGTAAATTTTGTCTTACTGAGGTTAGTTTCAGAATCTTTGTTAAAAGTCATTTAATAGAACTTTGAATTTCAGTCATTCATATAGTGAAAAATTCATTACGGGAATTAAAGCCGCTTCTTTTAATTTACATGCTAAGGGACTCCAGCACGTGGTCTTGCACCCAGAACTTTCTCCAGAGCTGCTGCTAGTAGCTGACGCTCCACACTTCCTCTTCTGCATGTATCTAGCCAAGTTCTGTATTCATTATATGTTGTTGTTATTATGTGAAGAGAATATAATGAAAATCAATAGGAAGATAAATTCCAGTGAATATTCATTCTCTTAGAAGTTCTTTGCTGGTTCAACTCTGTTCAGCAAATAAGGTAGTTATTCATAAACTAGGAAAAAAAAGGGAGCCATTTCTTTATTTTGACGATTTATTTTCTTTCATAGACCAAGATGCGCCTCCACTCAGCAAGGCTGGACAGGATGTGATTTTGCATCTGCCCACAGACGAAGTGATTTTGGACGGCCGCGAAAGCTCAGATGACCACGCCATCGTCCAGTATGAGTGGACATTGCTACAAGGTGACCCATCAGTGAGCATGAAGGTAATTCAGGTCGCCCTTCAGTGGCCTTTGTCGTGTCCGTCCCCTTGTATTCCTAACATGCCTCTGAGCTAGTAGAAGAGGCATAAAACAGAGAAAGTACAAAATGGTCCCCAAAATGGGACAGTGAGTTTTCTGTGGAGTTACAGTGGTCTTGGTCATTTGTTTTGAAGCTTTGCTGTTTTTTCTTGACAAAAAAAAAAATTTAAAGAAAAACACTATGTTTTATTTCAGTGACTCAGATGACTTAAAAGTCTTATTTCTTATTTTACTTAGTTCAAGATTCAGGTAGAAAATTTTGAATAACACAAAGGATGATACAGCACACAGTGAAATGATCCAGACAGTAAGTGGTTCGGCCTGCTTGCCACCACTGTGCAGAGAGGGGAGGGCAAGGGCAGCGCAGGCTCCCACTCAGGTGTCCCTGCCAGGCCCATCTGGGTGCAGCTGGACTTGCTGCCAGTGGGAATGAGCTGTTTGTGCGGGGGCTCCCTACACATAATAGGTATCAGGTCCTGAGTCGAGTCAGGACGCTTTCTAGACAGGAGCATTTCCTAATTTAGGCATATTCATCTAAACCACTCTAAACCAGACGTAGTAGCACATGCCTGTAATCCCAGCACTCCAGAGGCTGAGGCAGGAGGATCGCCTTGAGTTTGAGGTGACCCTCAGCTACATAGTGAGTTTAAGGCCAGCCCAGACTACACAGTGAGACCCTGTCTCAAAAACACAAAACAGAAACCACTCCAGCTGGAAGAAGAAGGTGAGGTAGCAAAACACCAGTTTATACTCTATTGGAACTAAAGGAAAAATAGTAGCCTCCAGTCCACTGCCCTGATGTAAGTATGACGATTTACTCAGTGGTTACATAGTCTTTGAACTGGGCTAAGCCCTTGTCCAGCATCTTACTCGGCCTCTCATCCAAAGAAGAGCCCCTTCTGCAGCAAGCCGTCCGTGAGCTGTCTGCGCCCTGCCTGACTTTTGTGTGCACAAAAGCTCACTGTTACACATTGTGTCCTATGACACTGTAATCAGCTCTAATTATTAGGCAAGCAGATTGTACCTCCTCCTACTTCTGTGCACCACTGCTAGGTCTTTCCTTTGGAAAAACACTGAAAACACCTGTGTATTCTGCACAGAAGACCTTGAGTTGAATTTTAGAACAGACACCATCCAGTCTGGTCTGGATATTTTAGATTAGTTTATACTTTTCAATTTTTTTTTTTTTTTTTGTCTTTTTGAGACAGGGTCTCACTATGCAGTTCAGGCTGGCCTTGAGCTCACTTTATAGCCCCAGCTGGTCTCAAACTTGCAATGATCCTCCTGCCTCAGCCTCCTGAGTGCTAGGATTATATACACTTTTTAAAAAATCAAATCCTGTATTTATGCTGTGGTTCTTCCTGACGTAGTGTTACCACTTAGGATCCAGACATTGTCCCTACTTCTATTAATGAAACCTTATTTACATGAACTGTTGTAGAGGCTGCGTCTCACAAGAGATGGATGCTGAGTCTTCTTGGCAGGATTGCCAACAACCTGCTTCAGCTTTTCTGTGACTGCCGTCGTGGAAGTGGTCTCCCTTCTCCTGCGTATATGCACTTGATTAAACCTTCATACAGACCTTCTTTTTACAGCTGTTTGGCTTTTACCTACAACAAATAATTTTGAACTTTGAATGTCATCTGTCATTTATTACCCTTCTGTGCATTGCATCAGCTGAAAGATTGATTAATAAATCTTAAGTGAAATTTTGAAGCTTGAGGTTGATTCAGCAAGGTGGACAAGCCAGGAGTCACAGCACTAGAGAGCCCCCTTGGGGTAGACGTAGCTGTTACTGAGCGCTTCTCAGATATATTTGTTCAGGTAGCTGTGAATGAGCTCCCGTCATCCTCCAGCTCTTTATACTTGTTACTGAAAGCTTTATTCTGTGAGCAATGAACGCATACATGAGTGCTGAGTAAAAGTAATGCTAATGGCTCCATATTTAATTATTTGGAGATACTCACAAAGGGACGACAAAATTAGGTATTTTTCATAACCTTTTAGGACAAAACTGCTGTGCCGTCAAGAGGGATACTGAACTGACTCCCTAGCCAGGTATACAGCAGTGATGGCAGATAGAGCTAAGGTAAAAAGCTATCATCAAGTACAAAGCCAGCATTATGGGAGACATGTGCTACCAAATCATGACTCTTAAAGTAGGGTACATTCATGAATGACCTCAAAAGTCAGCACTTATCCTCATGTGACGTCATCATAGTCAGTACTGTGGCTGAGCGTCAGTCAGTTCTAGACCCCTTAAAACCTGTCTGTCACCCTCAGAGCAACCTCACATGTAAGTTCAGCCCCATTTTGTGAATTAAGATTGTCAAGAAAAGTTGTGAAAGACTTTGAGATGGGCCAAAAATTACGGGATGGGTACCTATCTTTTTTCCTTCTTTCCTTCCTTCCTTCTTTCCTTCTTTCCTTCCTTCCTTTTTTCCTTCCTTTTTCTTTTGCAGTACTGGGGATTGAATCCAGGGCCCCACACGTGCTAGGCAAGCATCCCATCGCTGAATTCCATTGTTGGCCCTTTTTGAATTCTGTTTTAAGGCAAGATATCTCTAGATTGCTCAGGCTGGATTCTAACTTCCGATACTCCTGCCTTCGCCTCCTGAGTAGCCAGGATTACAGGTGCCCCCCACCTCACCCAGCTCTGAGCAGCTTTCAGTGGAATGCTAGGGGTTTATTAGTAGGACCTTTGGGGTTAGCATTTACAAGTTGCAGAAAACGGATAGTAATATAAATGATCTCTACTGTAAAAATGCAAATACATTTTTATATATAGATGTGATTGATTTTTGACCCTGGAGAAAAGATTATTTTGGACATGACATTTTAGTATCTGTAAATACGAACCAATCTATTCATACATTTTCAGTATTTATTAACAAACTCATTTGTGTCTACTAACAATTTGATTCCAGCTTTCATGACTCCTATATGTGTCTGTTTTCTAGGTCCTCCTTCGAGTCAGTTAAATCTCTTATTTCTCCCCTCTTAAATTAATTGGTTAAGTAAAATCTTTCACACACGTTCACATCGTGTAAAAGTCATGCTTTTACTATTTTGAGAGTTTCTCTGTAACAGTAATTAGCAACCCTCAAAGGACATCACTCTGATACCTTTAGCTTCAGCAGCCTGATTTCACACCCCAAATTCCTGGCAAGAAAATTGGGACTCTCACATCAAATTGTGTTTCTCCCTGCAAATGGTAACCAGCTGACTGCTCCTGCAAGCTGCAAAATGGGCTGAGTTCGGCGCTTGTTGGGAGCAGAGGAAGGGCATTTTCAGCCTCCCATAGCAAAGCACTTAAATTAAAACCTGATGTTGGACACCCTGGTTCTCCTGCCCCCTGGCTGTCCCCACCGCCCAGGGCGCTCCTTGACGCGGCTTTCCCGAGTGTCGTCCCCGCCCTCTTCTCAAGCGCTCCCTGTCTCTGGGCCACGCGCCCTGGTCTGCACAGGCTCTTCACTCCTCCTGTGTTCGCCCAGCTTTGCCACCTCCCTGTGTCGGAGACACTTTCACATCGAGTTCTAGGGAGAGCCGGTGGGACTTCTGATACATTGGAGTGAGCTGCGAAAGAAGCAGGGAGGGGTAACCACGGCTCAGAGATCCAAACCAATTTTTATCTCCTTTCAGCCTTACTCATCTGAAGTGCTCATTTTCTCTGAGGTCCTCAGGGTTGCCGCCACTTTAAAGCTGGGGTGTTCTTGTTCCTGGGATCAGCTGCCCACTCCAGGATCTTGTGGAGGTGTCTTACTGCTGCTGGCATTCTCTGTCCCCCTCCCCATCCCTCCTCTCTCCCTCCTGGCCTCTTTCCTTCCCCCTCCTTCCTCCCCTCCTCTCTCTGCTCTCTTCCCTCCTTCTCCTCTTCTCTTTCTTCCTCCCTCTTACTCTTCACATTTTATTGCTCACTTGTTTGATATTCTCTCAGTGGTCATGCCTCAAGGTAATCCAGCAGCACAGCACTGAAGCTGGTTATCGCATATAAGAGAAAGCATAGTATATTTAACTCAGTTGGAGTTATTTTGCTTAGCATGATGGTCTCAGGTTCCACCCATTTTCCTGCAAATGGCCTGATTTCATTCTTTATGGCTGAGTAGTACTCCAGTGTATATACATACTGCATTTTCTTTGTCCATTCATCTGTTGATGGGCATCTAGGCTGTTTCCAGAGTTTAGCTATTATGAATTGTACTGCTATAAACATGGGTGTGCATGTATGACTACAGCAGAATATTTTTAATTTAAAAGAAGGATTTCTTTCTCTCTCTCTCTTTTTCTTTTTTTTGGTGCTAGGGATTGAACCCAGGGCTTCGAGTGTACTAGGCAAGCGCTGTAGTACTGAGCCACACCCCCAGGCCCAAAGATTTGTTAATCTTGACAACTGGCTTTTGCCAGGTCCATTTGTGTGTCTTGCTAGCACAGTTTCAGGGCAACGTGGGCAAGCAGCCTCATGGTGGGCAAAGACGACGTGGGAAATGAGCACCTGGAAGCCACCAGTGGCACATAGTGGCCCTCCCAGGAGCCTCGTCAGGATGGGCAGGAAACAAGACTGTGGTCAGGGAGAACCCTGGAGCTTAAGGAGATTTTTAGTTGCTTTTGTTTTATATTATTTGTTGTGGGGGGTGAGAGAAACGAGCGTAGTAATTGCAGCGCCATTTGAAAGAGAGATTGATTGATGGGTCAGGATTCCAAAAGTCACAGAAGGAAAGTCAAGAACTGGGAGAGAGTGGCCCAGAGTGCAGGAGGGACCGTTCTTCCCCTACAGGGGTCAGGAGGGAGGTGGTCTGGGTACAGGGCTTTGCTCAGGAGGAGGTACGTGGTACTGCAGCTGTAATCTTGGTCCTGGTTTTCTCACTACGGTAGACGAGTGGGAGGGACTGAGTACTGAGTGTGGGGCGTGGAGAGGAGGAACAGGTTTGGAACTTTGGCTGCAAAGGTCAAGTGAAGGGACTGTCAGTCAAGGATGCAGCCAGCTTGGATAAAACCAGAACTGGAGCCAAAATAGTATGGGATGGAGTACTCAGCAGCCCTGGACCCGGACAGAGCAGAGGCAGGTGACGGCCCTGCTCCAGTGACAGTGATTTACAGTCCTGTGGGCTGCTAGACTCCATGCTCAGATCTCCTTCCTAAACCTGAGCTGTTCCATTTGTGTGTCAGGTGCCTCAACCAGGAACCCTGAAGCTGGCCCACCTGCACGAGGGAACGTACACCTTGCAGCTGACCGTGACGGACACTGCAGGTCAGAGAAGCTCAGACAACGTGTCAGTGACGGTGCACCCCAGGCCCTACCCACCAGGAGGTGAGAAGAAGGCCCTTCCCTTGCACTCACCACGGCCAGTTGTACCAGCTGTTCCTGGAGTAGTGGTGTCAGCTGTTTTACATCCTCACTTATGCATTCCACAGCTCTTCCTTTTTAAAATGTGTTTTAATTTTATTTATTGAGGTGGTTGGGTGAGAGAGGTTTTTTTGGTTTCTGGGTTGTTTTTTTTTTTTTTAATTAAGAATATAGTAATGAAAACGGCTCCATTATATTGTAGGATATTTTGATACCACAGATTGAGGTGGAGGGAATGCTCCCAGGAGATGAGAATAGACCGGGTGATCTATTGGGCCCTGTAAATGTTTCATCTTTTCTCACTCACCTTCACAAAAGGCAGCTTCTGACTTCTCCAGGATTTTGTTTAAAGATGGAGGACTTTTTGATTTGTACACTCAATAAGTACAACTACAGGGTACAGTTAAAGCAGCCCACCTCCTAGCAACAGAGAGCAGAGCAGTAATTACTGGAAGCTGGGGCAGTGTAGGAGACCTTGGTCAGTTTTTACTTTAGAGATGGAGTGAGTTCTAGTGACCTATTGCATAGCACAGTGACTATAGTTAATATTTTGTACATTGCAAAATTACTAAGAGTAGGTTTTAAATGTTCTTGCCATAAACAAATGGGAAGTAATTGAGGTAATGGATATGTTGGTTGACTTGATTTAATCATTGCACAATGGATACATATATCAAAACATTGCTTTGTACTCCATAAATATATACTATCATTATTTGTTAATTAAAAATGAAATATAGAATAAAAATGAAAGTCATACCACAGAATAGAAGAAAGACTTACTTCTTGGGTACAGTAAATTGTTGATATAATAAGTGATTTCAAAATTTTTAAGAAAGAAAAAAGAATCTGGCCAAGGAGTACAATTTAGACAAATTAAATTATGTAAACTTCATGGGTCAGATGGAGAGCACTACTTAAAACTTTTTAGACACTTTACACAGATGCATACACTAATATAATTTTAAATATATAAAATAGGGTTTCTCATAGTCTATTGCACAATATAAAACTCTTTTATTTCATTCATCTGTATTATTTTCCCAAACATCTGCCTTTTTAAGATTAGCTCAAGTTTAAAAATACCCATTATGTGGAATTTGGCAGTACTGAAGGTGTAGTGGTACTGCAAAGGGAAGCCCACACTGACTTCTAGAACTGCTGAGATACTGTGCATATGAGCATCCTGTAATTTGGTCAGTGGATATTTTCTTGCTATCTGCAGTGCATGGGAAGTGCGCTAAGCACTGGGGACAAAGCGGTAAACTCAGTAGATTCAGTCGCATCCTCTTGAAGGGTCTGGTATCGAAAAGCTCTGCTGTCACTAGCCATAGCTCTAGCAAACTTTGAGCAAGTCTCAAACATTCCTGAATATTCAGGATGTAGGTCATAATTAGCTGTTTAAGAATAAGGAAGCAAGAGTTAGAATATGACTGATGTACTTCTATAGTGGATTTAGTCTTCCCAAAAACATATGCATGCATATTGGAAATGAAGATTCATAAAGAGTTAGCGATTTTAGAATCCTACGCACTTGGCCACCTTGATAATTTGCATAAGCAGTGTTAAACTTTTGGTTGGCTGACCACTCCCTGACCAGCCAGGTTTAAGCTTCCTGTGATAAAGGAAGAGGTAACTACACGTGGATAAGCCAGCACCATGAGATGCCAGGGATGGTGAGTTTGTCTCGCCTGTCTGGATTTGAGCAGCCTTAGAGATTGACGGCAGCTGCACAAGAGAACCAGTCATCTAGGGAGAACATTATCAGGCACCTTGGTGGCCAGGCGTGAACCATAACCCCTGGGAACAGAGCACTAGGGATGCTCAGAGCTCACCTGTGTAGGTTGGAGTGAGGGGCTCACCTTGGGGAAAAGATGCAGAGAGCCTGTCATCCACATAGAAATTAGAAGACAGTTGCTTTTGTCCAGCCTTGGTAGCCATGAGGGAGGAAGAGCCTGTGTAAACTTGAGCAGATGGCTGACCCCTGAGCAGCAAATGATTTGCTGATGTATGGACTCAGGCCAACCTTCCGGGTAAACTGCTGGTTGTAAATTTCTGGCCCTTCTCCAAGATGATCATAAAATGCATTCAAAGTGGCAGAGAATGATCGGAATCACTTACTGAAAGGCCACTCTGGTATCAGCCTTGTGGATATAACTTTATATGGGAAATAAAAAGAATCAGTGCAGTACTACTATACTATTACTTGAAATCATTACTGGTTGTATTGGAAGAATATGCTGTGAATTAAAGTTGATGAAACACCACATATAAATAGTGAAAAACAGCAGCAGGAATACAGAGGAGTTTCTGCCTCCCCTGTTACATTAGATTGATTTTGTAATTACTAACCCAGCTGTTATGGTAACCAAGAGTGGCCTCCACCAGCATAATCAGACAAGGGGTACCCCTTATTACATGATAGTAACCTGGTTCAATTTTGATAATATCAACATTTTAATACTTTTTATGTTTGAAAAAAAAATCTATTCAAATAGCAAGCCAGAAAGCACTTCCAATATAATCTAGACTCATGATCTCCAAAGAGGATCCCCCAGTGATTTTCAAAATATTTTTAGGGCAGCAAAGAAGATGCTGAAATCTGTATATTTATTAATTCTGAATCTTATTAAAATTTTCAGCATATTTGATAAGGTATAGAGCATATTATTTATAAATAAATTTGAGATGCATGTTCAGTAATGTGCTATTGACCATAATGTATGGTCAAAAGAATATAGAAGCCAGGCATGGCTTCTGTAAATCCAGCACTTGGGAGGCTGAGGCAGGAGGATCACCATGAGTTCAAGGCCAACCTGGGCTATCTAAGCAAGTTCAAGGCCAGCCTGGACTACGTAGAAAGATGCTGTCTCAAAAAAAAAAAAAAAAAAAAAAATGGAGACTGCTAATCCAACATATCCATAATAAATATAGTTTCATTTCTAAAACTACTGAAAAATAAGTAAAATCTTCAATCAAATATTTAGGATTTTCATGTCATGGATTTAAGAAACATGACAAGTACTCATTCTAGACTCGTGATGAGTTGACATTCAAGTCATACCATTTTCATATAATTTTGCGGGGGGAGTACCAGGAATCATTCATATAAAATCATACGTAAAGCCGGGGAGGAGAACGCTGGGCTCCCATTCTGTTCCAAGAACAGAGACATCTTTGCTGCATCCCAGCCTACCCTTGTCCTTTTCTTCTGACTCCTCCCCAGTGGCCTGAGTTTCTGTCCTAGCTACAGGCCTTTTGCTTCCCCTCTTTCCTCAGGAGCACCTACCATTTCTTTTTCTTTACTTTCTTTTGCTTCCAGATCAAGGTATCTTCAAATTGACACCCAGGTAACTCTTTTTTCACTAGTGTAACTGTGCATAAAATGTGTCCAAGAGACCACTTGGCTGTGTAGACTGGACCCAGCCACCAGCCTTGCTGGAATAGCACAGTGTGCTCTTCCCACATTTCCTGAGAGAACTGTGTAGTCCAGACTTTTCCCTGTAAAACTGGGACTCTTTGTGACCTCACTCTAGCTGGATACCTTTCATCTGTATTATCAGGGCCAGTCCCCTGATCTTCTGCAGCTATATCTGTAAAGCTGGCCTAACCAAGGGTGAGGAAAATTCAGTCAGGAGGTCAGGAGGAGGCCTGTAATCTTTCCAACACCAGTGGCTCAAACTTGGTTAGGTTCTTCTCATTCTCCAGCCCAGGTGCCTTCTCTCGTACCCCTGTGTCTGTCTCTCTGGGTAGAGTGGAAGTCTTAACTCTTCCTGTGCCCCTGTGACTTGTTGCTTGTCTACAAACAGGATGCGTGAATATTTGCTCGCGCTACCACTTCTTCTGTGACGATGGCTGCTGCGTTGACATCACCCTGACCTGTGACGGAGTGCGGCAGTGTCCTGATGGGTCTGACGAAGATTTCTGTCAGAACTGTGAGTCTGCCTTCTACCCTGTCAGGCAGGGGGCTGGCAGGGGTGGAGGAGGGATGTCTGTGTTCTCAGGATAACATGGAGACCAGTGTTCTTTCTCTGCCTGGTTTTGAGTATAAGCTGTGCCTTGAATGGGTATTCACCGTGAATCTCTAGTCTGAGTTGCAAATGTCAAATTTTGGTACTGCGTATTTTTTTTCTATTTTCCAAAGATTTCTTCCCATCCTAAAAATGCTGCAATAACATGATTTTTTTTAAAAACTGCAGTGAATTGACATTTTGTTTTGATAGTCTTTAAAGAACATTATGACACACTGGGGTATAGCTAAGTCAGAGGCCTTCCTGTGTCATGTACGTAGAGGTACCCTGCAAGAAAGAAGAGCTGAGAAAGTTAAGGGAGGTACCTGTCTGAGGAAAGACCACCCGTCTCAGAATACAAGATTTTGGTTTTGTCTCTGTCCATTTCTTCACGTATAGTATTTGGAAAGCCAGTTACTGGAAGACAAGATAACCCATGGGCCACTTGAAAACAAGAGAATTTTTATGAGGTTCTGACATGCCTTTGATGGGTCGGTTATTTGTCCCAAATGTCAGTGATTTGATTTGATTTCATTTCATTTCATTTTATTTTAAAGAGAAAAAAATAAATATTACAATAAAACAGTTTCAAAACAGGCTAAGCCAGGCATGGTGGCACATGCCTGTAATCCCAGCACTCAGGAGGCTGAGGCAGGAAGATTGTTGTGAGTTCAAGACCAGCCTGGGCTACAAAGTGAGTTCAAGACCAGCCTGAAGTGCCTGCCTGGCAAGCGCAAGGTCCTGAGTTTGCTTCCCGGTACCAAAAAAAAAAAAAGACCAGCCTGAACTGCATAGTGAGACCCTGTTTCAAAAAGACCAAGAAAGAAAAAAAACAAAAGACTAGTAGGAGAGTAACAATAATTAATACATTGCATATTATTATCTTCAGAGTAATTACTCAGGGTACAGGATATAGGCATGAAATACTGTCCAAACAATATTAGCTCAAACTTTTCTTTTCAATGAACTAAGAGAAACTAGCTGTATAATTACCGTAACTATCTTGTGTATATATTGTTTTTCTTTTTCCCTTCCTTCCATTCCCCTTTCTCCCATCACAGTTATCAGTGATTTTAAATCAGCTGCAAATACATAACTTTAGTTGAAGTTCAGAAAAGAAGGTGCACAACTAACTGAGCTTTTCCGTGCTTCAGTGGCCCTCAACCGAAAGCTGGTGACTCACACCGCTGCCAGTGCTGCCCAGCCGGGCACCGCAGGGCTTGTCGCAGACACTGGGGAAGACTGGAAGTTGGAAAAGTCCCAGAAAACCACGCCCCCCACCCAGCCAGTTACCTTACCAAGCACAGAGACGAGGAATCACTCTGCCCTGGGGGAAGCAGAGAGTCAAATCAGTCCTATGATGCCAGGTAAGGGCTTCCGGCAGGTTCTCCATGAAGAGCTTCATTTTTGGTAAATGTGGCTCAAAATTTAAGTTGATTCATTAACAGGAAATTGGTTCCAGGACCCCTGAGATACCAAAATCTGTGGATGTTCAAGTCCCGCATATAAAGTGGCATAGTATTTGCTCATAACCTGTATAAATCCTGTATATTTTAAATTATCTCTAGATTACTTAAAATATGTAATGCAATCTAAATATTATGTAGCAAGTTGTTACACTGCCTCTTTTAGGGATTAATAACACAAAAAAATTTTCCATGCATTTTCAGTACAGACACTCTTGTTTGAGTGTGTGCTGAGGATGAATTCTAGGCCTCCTTCCCTCTACGACTGAGTATTTTCAATGTAAGATTGGATGAAGAACCTGTAATCATGGAGAGCTGGCTGCTACATTTCTTTGTAGATAAATTGGAGTTAGAAAGTTTCATTATTTAGTTTAAGGAAATTAATCTCTAAGTGTTAAACTTTAGGTTATTTGGGGGTAAAGCAGCATAGCCCCTAAGTATTTATGTCAGTCCTCTTCACCCTATGGAAGTGAGCATGTATACACATCATCGTGAAATGGTTTCATGCACTAATAATTTAGTGCCAGGCTTCCAGTTTAAATCTGTAATTTTGTTTTTTTGCGTTCTGTTTTTAATAAGATTAATAAGATTTTAAAATCACACTACCAAAGTATTACAGGACTGTATCATATTAAATTTCTTTTATACACATTTGACTGGCATGATTGTGTGACCTCAGAGACTAAAATACAGGTTATCACATTTCCATATGATCTTGCTAATGTCATTTCAGTACCAAACTCTACATATGTTTTATTTAATTAATCTCGCTATTATCAGAGTGACTTCTTTTATTTAAAAAATTGGTTGAATGATACAGGTGTGGTGATACACACCCATAATCTGACTACTTAGAAGGCTGAAGCAGGAAGATTGCCATAAGTTCAAAGCCTGAACTACCCAGCAAGACCCTGTCTCAAAAAGAAAAAAACAAAAATGTTGATTGTACAAGATACAGAATATGTAAAAAAGTGGAAATGACTTAAAATACCACCCTTTATTGAAAACTACTTGTAAATACTTTGATATGTTTCCTTCCAAACGTGTTTATATACTTCATGCATTTTAAATGCCTCTATACCAGAATGTCTGCAAAAAAATGACTTCTATGAGAGGTTTTCTTTTTTGTTGTGAAGCACACTTCAGTCCATGTCTTGCTAGTACTATCACCTATTGGGCAGATCAATCATTGCATACATGTCTCAGGATTCTTAATTTTCTCAGTACAGATTTGTGAGGGGAAGACAACTTCTACCTTAAGAAACAGCCTGGGGACAGCAGGTGTATTTACCAGGAATGCTGAAGGCTAGAAGAGTCATAGGGAACCATGTTCTCAGTAGCCACGATGGGTGGATTCTAGCTACATCCAAGAGATACAGAGGCCCACATGAGCTCACTGAACAAATTGACCAGAGGTAGAATGGAGGCCAGTGTGGCCTTAACTTCTCGTCTCTGCCCCTGGTTTCCTCATCTGTCAATAAGGAATCTCAGCCCAACCCCTCTGGGGTCCTGTTGAGCACTGAATGAGTTTCAGGAGCAACACAGAGCCCCAGCTCAGGCTTTGCCCCGGCCGCCCTTACCGTGCTCGGTATTGCCTGGTGGTCACAGAAGTGGCTCCAGGAGTACGGGCTCAGGCCCAGAATCCTTTTGAAAATCATGCCCAAGCTGCCCCAGCCAGGACCCAGTTTGAAGTATTTGCCGTCTGTTTGTGGCCCTTTTGGTAGTAAACCTTCGGTTTGGGCTATGAAGATGTAAGAGTGGCATTTCCCAGAACAGAGAGAGGAGCTGTCTTGATTCTTTATAATGTACTGCGACTCTTCTAATTATTAAAGCAAAACCAATTTACTGTAGAAAACTAAGAAAATACAGAAAAGTGAAAAAAATTAAAATCATCTAGCAAATCTATTTCTAAAGTTTTTGGTATAATTTAGATCTACATAATGATCATATTCATCGTCGGGAATTCGTACTTGTGTGTGATGTATCTTGATTCCTCTTTCCTTTTTCCCAGTCCCCTCTCCTCCCTCACCCCTTCTTCCCCTCCTTACTTACAAAGCTTTGTTTCCATGTTACCCTTCTTTTATCATTTTTTCCTTCTCCCTTCCTTGCTTTCCCCCTCCCCGCTCCCTAGTTCCCCTATCTTTTGAACCATTTCTTCCTATTTCACAATATCTGTTGTACAGTGTGGTTCTTATTTACACTCTTGGTTTCTCACACCAAAGAAACAATGTGATATTTACGCATATGTGACCAGTTTATTTCACTTAAGAGTATGGTCTTAAGGTATATCTATATATGTAGAAATGTCTCAATGGCTTAATGCCTGAGTAGTACTCTTATCATATAAAAAAATCTTTTTTATCCATTCCTTAGTGGATGGGCATTTGAGTGGTTTCTAGGATTTAGCTGTTATAAAGATTTAGCTATTCCAAGATTTAGCTATTACAGCCATGCTGCTATACACATGGCTCCGCATATATCACTGTGGTATGGTAATTTTAAATTTTTCCAGGAAGATACCCAGAAGGTGAATAGCTGGGTCAATGGGACCTCTAATCCTAGTTTTCTGAGGACTCTCCACACTGATTTCCACAGTTGTTGCACCAGTCTACATTCCCACCAGCAGTGGAGAAGGGTTCCTTTTTCCCCAAAGCCCTGCTACATTTGTTGTTGGTTGACTTCTTAATGACAGCTATTCTTTCTGGAGTGACATGGAATCTCAGCATTATTTTAATTTGCATTTCTCAAATTACCAGTGATGCTGAATATTTTTCATATATTTATTTGCTGTTTGTATTTCTTCCTCTGAGGAGTGTATATTCATCTCAGATTGAATTTTTGGATCGGGTCTTTAAATTTGGGGAGGTCTTTTTTTTTCAGTTCTTTATATGGTTTAGATATTAGGCCTTTGTCTGAGGGACAGCTGGTTAAAAACTTTTTTCCCACTGTGAGGGTTGTCTTTTCACTCTGTTGGTAATTTCTTTTGCTGTGTAAAAGCTTTTTAATACGGCAAGATCCCAGTTGTTGCTTCTTTGTATTATTTCCCATGTGATTGGGGTTTTGTTCATGAAATCTTTGCCTGCACCTATGTCTTCAACAGTTCTACCTATTCTTGATTTAGTGTTTCTGTTTTGTTTATTTTATTTATTTATTTTGGTAGCGGGAATCAAACTCAAGACCCTGCACTTACCAGGCAGGTGCTGTGCTGCTGAGCTATATCCCTGGCCCTGTTTTAATGTTTAAATCTTTGCTCCATTTCAATTTTAGTTTACCGTAGTATAGACATGGGTCTAGTTTTAGTCTTTGGTGTGTGGAGAGCCAGTTTTTCTAGCACCATTTATTAAAGAGGTTATCTTGCTTCCAGTGAATGTGTTTGGCCCCATTGTCAAAGATAAAGTGGCTGAGTGTGTTCGAAACTGTTTCTAGATCGTCTAGTCTGTTCCATTAATCCTCAGGTCTGTTTTTTACCAGTACCATGCTGTTTTTATCACAGTAGCTTTGTAGTATGATTTTAAGTCAGGGATTGTGATGGCCCTTGCCTTGCCTTTCTTGCCTAGGATTGCTTTTGCTATTTTGGGTCTCTTCTGGTTCCAAATGAATTTTAGGAATATTTTCTCTAGTTCTGTGAGGTATGATAATATGATTTAATCTGTATAACAATTTTGGAAGTATGGCTATTTTCACTATATTGGTTCTTCCTACCCATGAGCAAGGGATATCTTTCCATTTTCTGATATCCTCTTCAATCTCCTTTTTCAGAGTACTTTAATTTTCCATGTATAGATATTTCACTTGCTTTGTTAGATTGATTCCTAAGTATTTCATTCTGGGGGATGCTATTGTAAAAATGTATTGGTTCCTTAATTTGTCTCTCAGTGTGTTTGTTGTTTGTGTATAGGAATGCTATTGATTTTTGTTTGTTTACTTTGGTACCAGGAATCAAACTCAGGACCTTGAACTTGCCAAGCAAGCGCTTGTGCCACTGAGCTATATACCTGGCCCTGATTTTTGAGTGTCAGCTTTGTATCCAGCTAAACTACTGAATTCAGTTATTTAATCTGCAAGTCTTTTAGTGGAGTTTTTGGGGTCTTCTATGTAGAATATCATGTCACCTGCAAATAATGATAGTTTAACTTCTTCCTTTCCTACCCTTATTCCTTTTATTTCTTTCTCTCATCTAAGCTCTGGCTAATGTTTCCAGAACTATATTAATAGGAGTGGTGATAATGGACATCTTTGTCTTGTTCTTGATTTTAGAGTGAAAGCTTTCAGTTTTTGACCATTTAGCGTGATATGGGCTGTTGGTTTGTCTTAAATGGCTTTTAGCAGGTTGAAGTAAAGACCATCTATTCTAATTTTCTATAGGGGTTTTTTGTTGTTGTTTTGGTTTTTTTGTTGTGGTTTTTTGTTGTTGTTGTTGTTTTTGTCTTTTTGAGACAGGGTCTCACTGTGCAGTTCAGACTGGCCTTGAACTCACTTTGTAGCCCAGGCTGGTCTCAAACTCACAGCAGTCCTCCTGCTTCAGCCTCCTAAGTGCTGGGATTACAGGCATGCGCCCATCTATAGGGTTTTTAATCATGAATGGGTGTTGGGCTTTATCAAATGCTTTTTGTGGGTCTCTTGAAATGGTCATGTACTTTTTGTCTTTAACTCTGTTAATGTGGTGTATTATATTTACTGATTTGCATCTGTTCACCCATCTCATCTAAGCTCTGGCTAATGTTTCCAGAACTATATTAATAGGAGTGGTGATAATGGACATCTTTGTCCATTGAGATGAATCCAATTTGATCATGGTGTATAATCTTATTGATGATCTGCTGCATTCTGTTTGCCAGTATCTTATTGAGGATTTCTGCATCTGTGTTCAATAGGGAGATTGACCTGTAGCTGTCTTTTTT